CCATGTCATGCACTAGATTCCCTGTTTTTAATGGGATCAACATAAATTTTGCCTGTGGGGTGAAGACTGTTTGCAGAATGATAACATCCTGAAAATAATGTTGCACTGTGAATAAAGTGCATGAAAAAATTGTTCATCTCTGGCTCAGATACCTTCTCCCACTAAAGACAGTGTTGTTATCCTATTGATTTAGGAGAAGAAAAAACACCTTTTGGCTGTCCTCATATTTGTATGAAAAGTGTATAATACCTGTTCAGAACAGTGTGAAATACACCATCCTGTTTAGTGTTATGTGTTCCACTGTCACCAAAGGCTTGAGTGACTTGGTTAATCATTCAAACTGCAATTCTGGTTTGGTTCACAGCTTTCTAAGAAAGTCAAAGAAATAGTTTTAATATTTTATATGTTATTCTTAGATGTCCCAAATGCATATTTGGCTGCCTAAATAATTCACTTAAAATAACACCTATGTTCATTTGAGATAATTAGATAATAATTTAGATGTTTTTTACTGACTTTGGTAACAAAACTTTTTGATTTATTAAGAGTAATTTCTGCCCGTTTTGTAGTAAGTTCTTGGGTTTAGAAAGCGTCCAATACTTGAAGTATGAGAAAAGAAATTACATAAATGTTGACAAACACATCATGATATTCAATTTAAACTTTTGAATGGGAAACTCAGAGAAAAAAGGTCATGATCCTGAAACAAAGGAAACACCTGGGCTTACAAAGAAATGGAAATAAAATGATGGAACCTCTTCTACCTGGGCATCTATTGCAGTTTTTATTACCAATGTTACAGACCTGACACTGATTTTCTTTAACATTGCTTTTGCCATTCCTTTTCTTCCAGATTACTGCTAATGGATTCTCTCACAACTAAGACACCTAATTTGCAAAAGGATGAAAGTGGGGAAAATCCCAAGCTATCCATACTTCTTTCTTCCCATGTTTCCTATAAATAACAAGGACACCCTCAGTAAAAAGTCTGATAGCTCTGATTATCAGCCCCTTTTGCAGAGGTTCTGTGTCAGCAGGTCACTGGTACAGGCACGTCTGCCCAGGGCTGTGGCACTCTCAGGTCATGGATCAGTGCAGTAAGTGAAAAATTCATGTAGTAAAGGCCATTAATGGAACAAATAGGGACAAATAAACTGAAAGCCATACTGGAAATAACTCCTTAGGTTTATGAACTGACCTAAAGACACAATCTTCCCAGAGCTAGCCTGGCAGACACTGTCATTTGGAGCTTCCCCACACTTCTGGTGCAAGGCTGTCATGGTGTTGAGAGGCTCCAGGTGCACTGCTCAGGTGCAGCTGTGTAAAATGTTCATGGATCCCTTTATCCAGACAAGGACAGAGCCTGCAGCTAAGGTGTATGCCAAACTCACCCCCCACAGAAATGAGATCTAGACAATTAAATTAAACCTAGTCAGTGCCCTGAAAGAATAAGGAGTCTCATGGAGTAGATAGAGCCCAGAGCAGCTGGTATCATAAATTTTACTGTTCTGCAGTGAGAGTGATAAATGATTTCACCAGTTCAAGCTTCACCCTCTTCCAAGGTCACTGGATATCTCTCAGCAAAAACAATCTCTGGATTGTTGCATTCATAAAGTGAGCTCAGCAATAAAGTGCTCTGCCACATTTTCCTCTGCTCTGGCTGTGGTTGGGACCAAGCCCTGGAGGGTCCTGCAGAGTAATTTCTGCCCTGTCCTGTCCCACAGGGAGAGCAGCTGGGCACAGCTCCATTCCCAGGCTTTTCTTAACAAAACAACATCAGCAGCAGGGAATCTGAGGGTTTGCCCCTACAGAATGAACTGTTCTGAAGGTGAGATTTCCAGAGGTATGTCAGTGACAAAATATGCAAATAATCAAATTAATCTACTCCTGGAAGTCTAGTCCAGCTTCTTTTCATATTGAGTAGGACCCTAGCTTGTTTTATGATGTGGTTTTAAAATATCCTGTGCTTTCTAAGATATACCACTCTGGCTATACAGTCAGAAGAAGGCATCATTTTACTACATTATAGTGGCAACTTCTCACTGCCTTGTCTTCAAAACCATGCAAGTTCCTTCCTGGCCCATTATTCACATATGTTTTTTTTTCAGTTTCTTTTAATTTACTCTACCATATAGGCCAGATGAAGCATGAAGAAGAGATAAAGCAGCAATTTTTATGAGGTCCCTTCATGACAAAACTTACAACAGTATCACCTTGACAATATAAATCTATCTTCATGGAAGTCTGGGCACACAACCCATAACAAACTTTATTTATACTTTAATCTTACTTTCTTTTTCATCTATAAACAACAGCTGAAAATATACTGTGGAAATCAATTGACAGCAGCCGAATGAAAGGTAATTAATCAAGTGACCTAAAAAATATTTTCTGTCTCTAGTTTACATCATGTAGGAGTTTTCAGTAGTAGTTAGGAAGGTTCATGACCAAGTTACAAGAGTCACACACAAATTTAATTTATTGAGAGGACACTGGGTCTCTCTCATTTTAAGGATATAGAAGTTGACTGCACTCAATTTTCAAAATCAAAATACTTCCCAAAACCTTGCATTATCTTTAATTAGATGCTTAGTACCGAGTTTAGAAATACAAGTCCATCTTCAGCACTCACAACAGCCTTATCTGAGATGATATCAGTTACTCCTGACTTGCAATCTTCAATATGATTTAATTTCATTTTATTTTGTGACACTAAGATTTCATATTGAGTACAGCACAAACTGATTTCAGACTGGTTAGTGTTAAATGCAAAGCAAGTGCCATGACCACCACAGGCCTTCTTACCACGATGGAGATCTCATTTTTATATACATTTAGAAGGTGAATTAGAAAAGTAAACATTCCTATAGCTACGTTTTCCATAGCATACTTTGGACTCAAAGATAAGAAGAAATTTGCTTTGAAAAAATAGTACTTTGCTGAAGTCTGTCTTCTTTCATCCAAATGATGCTTATCCTACCTAGAATGAACAAGTCTATGAAAGGCAACTCTTATCTCTTTAATAATAATTTTCTTGCAATATACGCTTAATAATAAGGCAAAATTACATACAGCACAGCAGATAAAAGAAAAGGTCTGCAGATAGGATTTACAATATAACAGAAGTGCCTTTCTGTGTATCAGCATACTCTTTACCAAAACGGCGTCCATCACTCCCATTGTGCTGATAAAGCAGGTTTTTTAAAAATTATAAATGGAAAACATTTAGGGAACTATATGCAATGTCACATCTCTCTCCACTGCCAAAGGATATAAACCTCTACTTACCATTTAAAGGGGCTCAATTAAATAAAAAACCAAAAAACTAGGGCATAAAATGACTTGACAAAGTTAACTTATTTGTTGCTTTTTATGTGGATCCTAAATAGAGCTGAAACAGCTGCAAGTTGCAGTGTAATTCCAAGAGATTCTGGACAGACTCTGGACAACTGCTCTGGGATCTGGGTGGTACCCTGTGCTGCTTAAAGGGCTGAGGAGGAGGCAGGGTCCTTGTTGGAAAGGATGACAGTTTGACAAGAAAGTCTCACAGATATGTGTGCTTAGCAGAAAGATTTTTAAATGTGGAGTCTGATGAAGGAATAGAGTTGGAAGCAAGTTTTGATATAGAAGAAAAGAATTGCTGAGCTAGTGTTACTGGATAACCAAGGAGGCAGAGGGTGTGTTAGTTAGAAGGGGTTTTTATGACTTAGAGCAAAGGATAAACCCACCCCAAACAAGAAGATGTTTTTACCAAGCAGAAAGACAGCACAGGCAAACAAGCCTGCCGATGTGGCAAGTAGAAAAAAGGTCTCAGAATTTTCCACTGCAAGAAGACTGAATAACAACTTCTAGCTTAAACTGTAATCTATTAACTTTTAGTGATTGGAGAACAGTAACATGAATATGGTAATTATAGTAGTTATGATAGGATGTAGATAATAGTTAAGGTATAGATTGGTTCTGCTGTATTAAGATGCTCAGCAAAGAAAAGTATAGAATGCATTTGTGTCGTATCGGCGGGAGAGATGCGACACACCATATGCGATGAATAGCAAATCTCGAAGTTTATTGAAAGCTTACACATTTTTATATTAGTGTTAATGAAGCTTATGCATATTGCAAAATCTGAGCTCATTATTGGTTAAAGCACACTATGATCAAACACACCTACTTCTATCTCTTAACAATTATTTTGCTTCTATGTGTACATTCTTCTAATTTCTCTACCTTGGGATAACTACATTTTCTGGCAAGCAATTTTCTCCCCCGTCTTCCCGTTTTAGAGAAGGTCACTGTGACCTTCGTCAGTAATTAGGCACCGGTTGCTCAGTTCCCAGCTTGTTTCTCTTACCCTTATCCATCGGTATCACATCGGAATGTCCTTTCCCAGCTAACCAATTCTCCAAAAAGCTCTCTACACATTTGTAACCAAAATTAAAGGGTCTCCAGGCCTGCCTGCAGCTGACAGCTGTAGGCATAGCTCTGTCACCCACGACCCTGCACTGCTGTAACTCTTGGAAACAATAAACTGCATTTTGGAAAGCCTCTGGAGTCCCATATCTCTCATTTCAGCTCTTACAGTGGTGCCCAACATGAGGTGCCATCAGTAAGAGCCTGAATGAGGGATGCAGGACTCCAGGCCTGCCTGCAGCTGGAGCTGACAGCTGTGGGCACAGCTCTGTCACCCACAACCCTGGGCTGCTGTAACTCTTGGATACAATAAACTGCAGTTTGGAAAGCTCCTGGAGTCCCACATCTCTCATTTAGGCTCTTACAGTGGCACCCAACATGGGGCACCATCAGTAAGAGTCTGAATGAGGGATGCAGGACTCCAGGCCTGCCTGCAGCTGGAGCTGACACAGGCTCTGTCGCCCACAACCCTGCACTGCTGTAACTCTTGGCTACAATAAACTGCATTCTGGAGAGCTGCCTGGAATCCCACATCCCTCATTTCAGCTCTTACAGGTCCTGGATGACCTTGGGACACACGAGGGGGGTACCTGGTCGAGCTTCCAGTGGAACTCGGCGGGGCGGAAGGTGTCGGCCTGGTCGAAGTCCTTGCGCAGCAGGAACACGAGGCGGCAGTTGTGCACGTAGAGCGCGTAGTGGTGCCGGTTCATCTCTGCGGGGACACAGTGTTAGCGCTCACAAACACAATCACAGAAGCGATTATATGTGGTGCTTTTTATTGAAGAGCTCTGGGAATCGGGGTGATTTCCACCCAAATCTGATTCTGACCATACATTCAAGGTGAATGTGTTTTATACTGTATCGTTATACAACTTTCGTGATAATTATCAAACTTATATTGTTCTATTGTATACACAGATTTCAGCTAAACATAGCCCCCTTTAAATTTCCAACATAGTTTCTCACGATTCTTCTTATGGTTATATAATAATTACGTTTAACTACTAAACAATCATCACATCTAACAATTATATCATTTATCATACTGCTTACGCAGGTGCAGTGATCTGAGAAAACACAAGGCCTAATATTTTCAAAGACTATTTTTAACATTTTCCAGGGCTCCACTATCAACAGCGGCTCAGCCACACACAGCCCTCGCTGTCTGCGAGCCTCACACACCAACAGCACCCAGGCACATCACAGAAACCCCACAGAACTGGGCTCTTTCATGGATTAGTATGACTCTTCTTGAATTATGCTGTATCAGCTTTGTTCACGGAATCATCCTGCCCAAGCTAATAAATGAAATCCAAATGCATATTTTATCTAACTTGTTTCAGTAAGGAATTGGAAGTGTTTCAATCTAAATAATGAAAAAAAAATTACACATAATTTAGTTATGCTATCAGTCAGTTCCTGTGAAATCTCTAGCTGTGTTATCCCAGCTGTGTTTGAAATTTAGGTAGTCATCAGGCCCTTCAATAAGCTCTTAAAGCAGCAATGTTTGGAGTGGCACCATCTGAGATTAGTTTTTTCTCAGACCAAATTAAATGAGGAGAAATGGCAACACTCTACTGCTGTTGATATCCCCTTTGCATAACATTTTTTCCACACACAGACTCACCTGTCTTGTCAGAGTTGCAGAGAATAGTTTCCTTCTCAGCTCTTAATCCAGGGCTAGGTCCATGTTTCATCCACAGAGTGATGGTGAATTGATCAGTTAAATTTTTTGGGACTATTCCATCGGGGATTTTGGCTCCTTGCTTTCCATCAAATTTAAAAATCATGTCATTGCTATCCATGAGGAGCCCAGCTGTCCAGTTGGTTGTTGCACTGGGAGATGGTAACAGGTCAATGGCACCTGAGGAAGCTCCTGCAAATCACATAATGAATAACACAATGAGAGACCAGTGAAAAAGCTGTGAAGATTAATATAGGCTAGGGTTCTGATTCACACTCTTTAGACTACTTTACCCAAATGGTCCTGCCAGCCTCAATGCCAAATTACTGAAACATTATGAAATACCCACCATCATGAACCAGCAAGAGTTTTCTAGATTAAACGTTCTGCACAGAAAACTATAGAAAATAATGTAAAGTTACCTTTCTCAGAAATGTTCATTATTTTCTGAAATTCATTAATGACATTTCTTCAGCTTTTTCAAGATCTGCTAAGTCAAAACAAATTTTCTGCATTTATCTTCCCTCCCTGACAGCATGAAGATTTATGGGGGTGATGTGCTGTAACATACAGCCCAGTGGGGATGATTGCAGGACAGGCCCCACAGTGTCCAGCTGCCAGCCATGGATATCCCCAATAATTCTGGGAGGAATGTCCATTCACAAAGGGGGATTCACCCCAACCAGATAATATCACTCCAGTGCTGCTTTCTGGTACATATTTGCTGGTTGGAGCTCTGTGTGTTCTTTAATGATAGACTGAGATGGAAAGCACCACGGTACCAAGATCTGATAAAACACAGCTCTGTGTTTGCTTACAGCTGAACAACTGCCAGGCACTATGAAAACCATGCAAGGAGCTACCCAGAGCATGCACCTACTGGTGAAAGCCTGCAGCAGGAAATAAGATTCCTGGAGTAAAAAGCACAGACAATCTTTGTATTCCTCTTGCTGCTTTGTCAAGTAACAATATGGTGAGCAAACTGTGATGGCATTAAAAATCCTCTGCTAAGGTGTTCTGCCCTCCTTCACCATCCAGGAAGAGATAAAAGATCCCAAATCCCTGCAGGAGTGCAAAAAATTAAAGCCAAAAGTGTGTAGAATTGTTTCATACTAGCTTTTAATAAAAATGTATTATAGCAATGATTTGGAAATATTTATCTTATTCTGTAATGGAATGTCTTGGGTTCTTCTCCAAAATTTACTACTGCAAAATGAGGCTATTTTGAAGTGATATTTTGAATATCAAACCTAAAACCTACATGTTCATAAGTTTGAGCATGGAGACAAAGTGTATTTATTTTACAAACTGTAATTCTGGATAATACAGGACACTGCATTTGTGTAACCAGCACCAAGCTCAACAGGTTCTACTTTATCTGCCTATATTTGTATGGAGATTTATGGCTAAGTTTGGACTCTCATCCTGCTATGTGTTTTAATCCTGTCCTGAGAAAAATCATTGGATTATGTACTGGGGAGACTTGGCTGGAATAAATCATGCTTTTCCTATCCTAGTAAATCCAGCCAGAGTCCCATGCTGCTCAGCCATGTACAGAGACAGACCTGGAACAATGCAAACAGGATCTCTTTGGAGGTGTTCCCAGAACAGCCTGACCATGGGATCAGTGCTCTTCCAAAATGTAGTGCCTGATGCCCTTTTCTCCCAAAATGCTTCCAGAACAATGCAGGAACTGTTGCATGAAGCTCAGTTTTGGGCTAAGACCCCTAAGGCACCTCTTGCATATGCAAGTGCTTATTTTCACAAGTGATTTATGCAGTTGGCCCCACCTCCTGTCCCAATCCTGCACATTTGGGCTCCAAACTTTGTGCCAGGATAACACACAGGGATGCTGCTCACTGAGCTGGACCAGACTGCTGGCTTAGCTGGAAAAAAATGATCCAAATAACACCCAGCTCAAACTCTGCTTTGTGATCAGAACAACTTTGGGCCTCTTGCAATGCTGCACCAGCCAGGATAATGGAGAGAGGGCAGGATTGTGGCTGGAGCAGGGCCTTGAGGCTGACAGTGTTTCCCTGTCTCAGTTTCCCATCTGACACATGTGAGAATTAGCAATCCCATTATTTTCTATTTTATCTACATTTAGAGGGAAAGGAGACAGCACCAGAGCCATCTTTCCACTATATTTTAGGCTCCTTATCCTGTGTTTATTTTGGTGTGATTTTTTCTGATATGTTTTTGCAGTCCAAGTGGTGCCTTTTAGACAGTCTGTACTTTTTGTTACTGTCAGGTAACAAGGTGAAAGAATGCTTTCTAAAATGCTTTGAGGCACAACACTAATAGTTCCTTGCCTTTAAAATGACTCAAGTGTAATTTAATCATTTAAGCTGCCCACCTTGACCATCCAAGGGGTGCAAATCTCTGGGTTATTGAAAAGTAGACTTGTACCTTCCATCATATAAATAATGAATTTTAATTCACCTTCCTTAACATCTGCCTTCTCCACATTTCCAACAGATAAATGAAGAAATGAGCACAGGATTTATAAACTGGATCTTTACTTTTACAGAGAGAGCCTTGCATTTTACGTCGTGCAGAGCTGTATGAGTGCTCAGTTCTGCACACTCTGCAATCACATCATGCTTTACTGTGTAAAAAAATTCAGGGTTTTCATCCTTTTCAAATGATTTTATCATCCAACCATTAGTTACAATAAGGTAACTTCTGGGAGAAAACTGATTTCCAGAAATAATTTAAGTGGCTTTCATAAGACTCCTCTCTATATTAAGAATGGTAAAAAATACTAAATAGCAAAGTGCAGGCCAGGCTAAATGCAATTCTCATGTAAAGCACATTGTCACTTACAGCCTTTTCATCAAAGTCCTGTTACAAGTTTGTACCATGTCTGCTTGCTATGAAGATATGGAAAACCTGGACCAAAAGAAAAATTCTTTCAGCGGTGAGAATTTCCCCCCTATTTACAGACACTCTTCTACTTTACTTGTTTTCTCAAGTAAATTCCCTTCCTTCACAGGTGAGGAGAGCTGAATTCAGAGCTGAAGTTCAGCAGGGCTGTCTGTCCACTGCTCAGAGCTGCCTGCAGCCGCCACAATGGCCCTGCAGCCCCAAGAGATGCCTGCAATTCTCTTTTCTACTCCAGTGTCAGCAGGTGAGGCAGTCAAGCCACACTCTGCAAACTGAACCCCTGAGAGTTTGTACAGCCTTCCTCAGCTAAGGACTCCTACACCAGCTGAAGGTACCTCCTTTCAGCCTACACTTGAAATGATAATTTTGTTGGATATAGCTGCTATCATTGTTTGATTTCAAGGTAATAATTCTGTGGTTTAGGTCTGGTTCATAGTGGTCTGCACTGAGTGATTGTAACCTTTGCAGTTCAGGTCTGTAACAGCACAAAGCAAAGTTCTTTTGGCTGCTAATACAGCTTCTTAGAGGAGGCAAAAGTATTTGACTTTAGCTATTATATAAATATTATTTCTAGAACATATAAATAATATAAATATACTATAAATATATAAGAATATAATATATATCATATAATAATATATATAATATTATAAAATGATATGTAATATAATGATATGTAATATAATGATATGTAATATAATGATATGTAATATAATGATATGTAATATAATGATATGTAATATAATGATATGTAATATAATGATATGTAATATAATGATATGTAATATATATTATATATTATATTATTATATTATATAAAATATAATTATAATATTATATAATTATATAATAATATAACATATATGATGTAATAATATAGTATATAATATAATAATATAAATAATATAAATATAATATAAATATATATAAATATTTAACATATTTATTTTTATTAAAATTTTCATATTTTATGAAATCAAGCCTTGGTCTGCCTCTCAGATTTAATATCATTACCAAGATGCATATTGGGGTAGATGGATTTTCATCTGCTCTTCTAGGGCCCAGGCAGTTGGATAAAGACATAGAATTGAAGTCATGATTGTTTCTGTGATCTTAACCAAGCAATTTTGAAGTTGAAAATATTCAGATTTTATGACAATGCTACTACTCCCATTCGCCTTTACCTCCCTTTCTTCATCTCCACTGATAACTGATAATTGCAACTGCCAACCATTTTTCCCTGGAAGTTGCTTCTCCATTTTTAATAATTTAGTAACACTGGCTGAAATTTTTCATTTATAAAAATTATTTCCTAAAGGTTAGTGTATTGATCTTAACATATCTGCAGTACTGCTGGGTGATTACCAGAGGACCCAGAACCAAAATCCACCCATTTAAATGAAAAAAATTGCACAATTACTACTGTAGCTCAGACAGAAACCAGGCAAAGGGACAGGGAAGATGAGAATTAATGTCTCCACCATCAGGGCTTCAGAGGAGGATATTTCTCTACCAGGTCAGCTCTTATCTGAAGTTCATGTTTGTTAAATATTTTTGCCCAGAATAATATTTTACTTTGTGTTTCTTTGTCCTCTGGCACAGCACTGAGCAGCAGAATAGAAAGCTGGGTCAGGAGGACTGAAACACAACAGGGAGATTTAATTCCCTTCAAATCCTATGGTCTTCTTGTGATGGCAAATCTACACTGGAAATCTCACTACAGTGTCACACCACTATCTGTAGCAGAGGGAAGAAAGAAGGGGAAAGAGATGGAATGAGGAAGAAGGAAAAACTGAGAGGGGAATCGAAGCAGGAGAGAAAAAAAAATAAAAGAAGGCAGGGAGAAAGTATGAAGTAGAGTGAAAACAAATGGAAAAGAAGGATGGAGCAGCTGCCAAATACCATCACCCTCTCCATTTTCATTGCTACGATCCAAAGTGAGCCAGCTGAGCTAAATCCAAGCTCTGCATGCTTACAGGTCACAAGGAGCTGGTGCCTTGTTTGCAAAAACATTATTATATCAATGGAAATCCATATCCATACCACATAATTTCTGCAGAGATTTTTCAGAGTAGGTTTCCCGATCACAGCCCTTGCCGATGTAGTTGGTCTGCAGTTCAATGGTGGTGTGGATTGAGGACACTGGTCCATCACACGTTTCCAGGTGGATGCTGGGGAACAAGGGGATGCTGCCAGAGCCAGGCCTGTATTCAATCCGTTTGTTCCAGTCTGGAAAAGCAAACAAATCAAAACCAAGATCCAATGGTGAGTAAAAGAAAGGGAGTTATATAATTTCAAATTACATATTATTCTCAAAGGACACTGTCTAAGGCAAAAATAAGAGTCTCTGAAGTTGGCATCAATAAGATACTGTGCTAAAAAAGTTGGATTTTGGCCCTGTTCTTCTAAGAGTGTCAGGCTCACTTCAGTAACACTTCTCCTGTTGAGTCACACAAGCAGGGGCTACACACATCTCCTGACCAGAAGTGCTAATTGGTGTCAGTCTGCAGCTGCAGTGCCCACGCTCCGTGACAGACTACAAGCTGACTCTGCAGGGAGGAGGATCTCTGCTGCACCCAATCTGGTCAGATTTCACAGCGTTGTGATAAGAACAAATACCTCCAAAGACCAGGCTAGACAAGTCACTCTAATATAACACCTCTGTAGTGCCACTTCTGGTCTTTGAACATCTTCCTTATTTTGTGAAGCACTGATGACAGGAAGTTCCAGCCAAAAGGATGACTCCTGCTTCCAGCTAGATCTGACTAATCTGTGTTTATGCAGATGCCTCACAGCCCACAACATTTAAACAATCCCCTGCCACAGGCAGCCACCTGTTTGTGCCACACAAACCCCCCGTGCTGCTCAGCTGAAGCATTTTAATGTTTGAAATCCAATTAATTATGGTGTTTGCAACACGCTTCAGAGAAAACCCAAAAAAGCAGCAGTAATTAAAACCATGTATTTTAGATGTCTTTACAGCTCCTATTTTCATCAAGTCACAGAATGGCTGGAGTTGGAATGGATCCTCAAAGCTCACTTACTCCATCCCACTGCTGTGGGCAGGGACACCTGCCACTAAACCAGGTTCCTCAAAATCCCATCCAGCCTGACCTCAGGCTGAGGGATAGGGCATCCACAGCTTCTCTGGACAACCTGTGCCATGCCTCAGCATCCTTATAGGAAAAAAAAAAATTATATATCCAATCTAAATCCAACTTAAAGCTGTTGCCTCTTGTCCTGTCACTGCAGGCCTCAGTAAAATCTTTCTATCCATCTTTCTTATAAGTCCTCTTCAAGCACTGAAAGGCCTCAGCAAGATCTCCATGGAGGCTTCTCCACAGTGAACAACCCCAACTCTCAGTCCAGCCTTCTGGCCATGTTCATGGCCCTACCCCTCGTTGCTTTAACAAGTTCAAATCTTTCTAGGTAAATAAGACTTCAAAAATGGAAAAGTTCTAGGTCTTGGCAGTCAACAAAATCCCTGAAAGCAAATGGACAGAGATTTGTTCTAAATATCAGTAGAAGGGAAAACTAATAGTGGATACAAATATGCATGTATGCATTTAGTAGGTGAAGGAGTTTGTGTTTTTCAACAGATCTCATTTCAGAAAGCTCAGGTCTTAAACTAAACATTTACAAGAAATTCTAAACATCCATGCAAACACTTTGAAGTGTGAGTAAGTCATTAGTCCAGAGTCCAGGCAATGATGCCACAACCACTGGTCTGCATTTCAGAATTCTCCAATCTTCTTTCTGACATAACCCAATTGGTTTGTACTAAAATCTTCAGGACTAGTACATCATGACTAAGACAACCATGACTTCCCTTGCACATATAACTGAGTTACTATTTGAGTTGTAATTTTCATGTAATTCACTCCATTTGTTCCACATTAAGTTAGACTTGATCTACAGTATTGCATAATTTCTCTGCAACTGTCGGTTTAAACAGTTCCATTAGAATTCCAAGTACCATATATGGGACATCATACAATAATAAGTTTCTGTTCCCTCTCCATTGCAGAAATTTGAGGTTAACAATTTTCCAATAGAACAAGAGCAGCAAATTCTTTGAGCTTCTTCAGGTAAAAATAAAGTAATTTGCTGGTTTTATGCAAACTAATAATATATTAAGTTTTGATCTTTATAATCTCTTATTCACCAGTTCAGGCATTGTATTACTCTACTCCAAAAGGAAAAAAAAGTCTTATATATGTCTGGAACCTTTCTGACTATTTCAGCAGCTTTCAGCCACATTTTCATTTCTCAGCTATACCAAATGGACCAGTACTCATGCAAAATATTCCTTAGGGGATGTGAGATATGACTGAATTATAAACTGCAAGGTGCCTGAAGCTGCACACTCACCTCCAGCTATACAAGGAGTGTCCTATAAAACTCACATCATATAAAATGCCACTGCTCACGAGGAAGAATGATGGGAGGCCTCTGTTTCTGCCACAAGAACTGGAGGAGGTATTTTGTTTCATGCTTGTTTTCATCTTGGCAGAAGTGGGAATTTGTACCCAGAGATCATAAACCCTGCACCTCCCTAAACCACTCACATTTATCTCAGATCTAAATTGTAAAACATCAACTAGACTTGAACCAGTGTCTTTGGACCTTGGTCTACTGCATCTACCACAGACCAATCCCCATCCTAAACTGCACCAGCACTTCTTCCTTCACTGACTTGGAGCAGATTTAGGAATTCCACCAAGAAGTCCCTCTCCACGCCAAAGGCATTCCCAGGCAGGTGTGAGGCAAAACTGGAGCAGGTTACAAGCCTGTGATGGCAGAACCATCCCCAAAGGCAGCAACAGCTCTGATAAAAAACAACTGGCTTATTCCCACAGAACCTGCCCCCAAGCACTCAGCTCCCAGAGCTGTGAAGCTGAGGCCAGCACCCTCTGCATCTCACCACCACTGGTGAAATGCACAGAGCTGGAACAAGCAACAATAAGTGGTAGTAACAGTGCAAAGAAATTACTGTGACAGTAACCCAAGTCCTTAATTCAATTTTGAATAGTGTATTTTGCTTTCTCTCAGAATGACATCCTGCATTGGACTTACTCAAAAGATCAGCACCTTCCCTTCAGGAATGTGGTGGTACTTTTTCATTTCCTCTGGAGTGACTCACAGGAAAAGTCTTAGGTAACCTGAGTCTGCAAATACCTCTAAATTTAGGTATTTTCTGGATATGCTCAGATACATAACCCCACCTGAACTGGCAGGCTGCACTTAGATTAACTAAACCCAACCAACACAGTTCCTGCTTTGACACAAACCTGACCCAAGTCCTGCTAGAACACCACATTACACAGCAAACTTAGGAAAGTAAATGCTGTCAGGGTAGAAGACCGATCCCAGGGGGAAAGTCTGAATAAAACTAGCACTGTTGAGTCCTGCAGCCACTGTTTTGATTTTATAATTCAGCAGGCTTTTGCTTGCTTTGCCACTTGTAGCATGAAGGTGCTCCAGACAATGCAAGACAGCCCCAGCTGGGTTATGCCTACAATTAGAGTGCAAATATCACCACGTCAAGCTTGTGGTTCAGATTTCATCAATTATAAAGCAACTATGCAAACGTGCATCTTGATCACTGAGATACTCAAACGATCCCAAGATCAAAATGGATCAAACTTCAGTGACAGTTTGAGCCTTTAAAAGTAAATCCCAATGCACTGAACAAATTTTCCTTTTAACAACAGATGGATAGTGTAAAGACGGTCCTTGATCTCTAAACTAAAGGTTTTCTGTACTGTCTTTGTGATCCATGTTTTATATTTTCATTAATTTCTAATGCTAGATGACACTGAGGGGTTTAATCTGATTTTTTTTTCCTTGAAGATCACACAGAGGAGGTTTGACACAGTTCACATCTCCTACATGTGTGTGGCCATAAACTTTGTTTCCATTTCACGGTGTAAAAAATGATGGTGATGTAATTAAAGATAATTGTAACACAATGAAATACGAAACTTCTCTCCTGTTACACTGAAGATATGCATCTTGGCAGCTAAATCTAAGATAAAATTTATGTGGTGCCGTTAGTGAGTCTCTGCAGCATCGCTACATAATTGCTGGAACAGAAGGTTCCCAGAGCAGTGTAATTGGTATCTCCTCTGTTTCCTCTGCAGCATTCTCACATCTGTGCTGTTTATGTGGGCTAGAGACTTGGCTAAAGGTTACTCTGGTGCCTTTTTAATGTGAAATAAGATGAGTGACTTGTTAAGGAAATGGTAATCAGGTCTGACTCAGTTAAAGGGTTTCCACAGCAAAGAGAAAACTCAAACTAATGTCCAAAGCGCTGCTGGTTTGCTAAGAGATTTAAGTGCACATCTCAAAGCATAAACAAACATTCATATACACCTTCTCCTTGTGCAGTATGTGGATAGTTTCAAAAAGACAAACAAAAAAGAGACAGAAATTTGTGCTTAGTACAGGACAATGGAAAGGCTGATGCTGCAGGAGCTGGTGAACCCAACCGAGTAACTGTTGTGCTCAACCTACTGACACTGAATATTCCATCAAGTGATAAAGTTCCCAGACCTAACGGTGCTTAATTATGTGAAATAAACATATAAGAATCTAAAAACCATGAAACAGCATGGCTTAAGCTATTATTTGTCATGAGATTTCATTTGAATAATCTATTTCCCACAGTGTCAGAGCCCCAAGGGCACTCATAAGCCCTAATGAACACCCACAAGCTTCACCTGGGGCCTCCATTTGCCCTTCCCTGGGCCTGGAGCTTTGTTTAAGCTCAGCCCCATCAGACTGGGCTGCAGGTGCTGGTCTGTCTCAGCCACAGCATCTCTGGATCCAGGAGCCAGCCCAGGGCTTGACAGAGCCTCAGCACTGTGGAGCAGCCCAGTGCCTGATCCCAATCCTCATCCGTGGATCCCAATCCTCATCCGTGGATCCCAATCCTCATCCGTGGATCCCAATCCTCATCCGTGGATCCCTGTACCAGTTTGCAATCCCTGCTTCACAATTTAGCTGCCAAATAAGTTTGGCCTTGTCAGACCTTCAACCTCAGCCAGCCTAGAGGTAAAAAAGGTCCTCAGATGAGGCAGGGATAGGTTGGATTCAAATCTACACAGGGGCTTCACCTATGATGTGCCACCCTAAACTGCAGACATCTCCTGGTCAGGAGCTGGGCTGTGAGGGGATCAGCCCAACCAGCAGCTGAGACCAGGCTGTTTTAAGCCCCAGGAGAACTC